ACGAGAGCGACGAGGGCGACGACGATTTTGCGGTGAGCGACGCGGCGGCGGCGGCGGCGGACGATACGGCGACGGTGGGAGGCGACGGCGCCGCGGCCCCGCCCACGCCGCCGGAGGGTGGCGGCGCAGGCGGCGGCGACGATAAGAAGAAGAACTAAACCCGCGCCGCCGCCCCGACGAAGCGGGGACAGACGGCGGAGGAAGAGCCCGCATCTTTTTTTGTTCCAACACGCCCGTTGCGCGGAGCACCACCAGAAGGAAACAAGTAAAAGGAAAATATATAAAAAAAGTCAGCGATAAGGGGGGGGAGGGAAAAGGAGCAATAACCGCGGCGAGGAAGCTGGTTCGATGCGTCATATTTTGGCCTGCCGGGGCCCGCGCGCGCCAACGAGCAATGGGCTTTTTTTTTTTTTTGCATCTTTGTTCCCCTAACTGTCACTCGTTTTTTGTTGTTGTTGTTTTTTACCCCCGTCTATTTTGTGCTTGTGTGCTTCAGTATTTCGCCTATTCTCTTTCCCGCTCTTTCGGTGTGCATGTGGGCGGACTCGACACGCTCGAGCGCGTGCTTCCTTCCTTCGTTATTGACGCCTTTGCGCCACTGGGGGGGGGGTGCGGGGGTGTTTCTCTGGCACCGCCCCGTCGCCTCGGCAGCGGCGCCCCCTGACCTTTGCTCGTGGCTACTGCTCCGTGTTCCCCCTTTGTGCGTCTTGTTGTTATTATTACTTTCCCGCTCTCTTGCTTCTTCTCCCCACACTTTCGCCAATGAGACTTGGCGGTGCCGCCGTGCGCGACGAGCTCGTCGCGCAGGCGGTGGAGGTGAACGACGTTCCCTGATTTTTAGCGGTTGCGCTTCGCTCTTTTTTTTTCCGCCCAGGCGCAGCGATGGCCGAGGGTGCGGCGGCGCCGAAAATCACCCTGCGCCTCACAGCCAAGACGGGCATAACAGAGACGCTGCCCAACATGAACTGCGACCCGGGCGAGACGCTGGGGCAGGTGCAGGCTCGCATCAAGAAGAAGCTGAAGCGCCCCGTGCTGTACCTCTTTCTGATGCGTGGGTCCGAGGGGTTCATCCCCACCCCCGACCAGACGCTGGGGTCGCTGCTGCACGCGTACGCGGAGTCCGCGGGGCAGCGGGAGTTGTCCATCGCCGTCTCCACGGGAATTTTTCACGGCTGAGGCGACAGCGCATCTTCGCCCGCTGCCCCGCGAAGGCGTAGTGGCGGGGCTCGCGCCGGGCGCAAAGAGAAGGGACAGGATATATTTATATGTTGTTCGAAAAGGAGGAGGGGAGGGGAGGAGGAGGAGGAGGGCGGAGTCGCGTCTTGTGCGGGCGCGCGTTTTGCCTCTCGCTGCCGTCATTTGGGACGGCTTTGCCTGACTACTATTATTCTTACTACTGTTATGTTTTTCTTTTTTTCTGTTTTGTTTCCCTCTTTGGGGGGCTTTTCACGCGGGCAGGTGTAGAAGGAGAGTGCGAACATAAAAAAGAAGAGAGAGAGAGGGAGAGAAACAATCAACACCCGACACGCATCGCCGGACGGACGCGCAGAGTCTCGCGGCGATGATGCGGCTCACCCGGTCCTTGCGGGCGACGCCGCCCAAGTACGTGTCTCTGCGCTACGCCCCGTCCTTTCGGCTGCCGCAGCCCAGCGAGGTGGTGGGGGTGGCGACCAAACGCATCCCCCCCGACTGCGTTCCCGCGTTTGTCGTGCCAGAGGTGATCGACGCCGCGGAGGAGCAGGCCCTCCTCGCCCTCGCCGCGCCGTGGTTTGCGCGGCTCCCGTACAACGACGGCCACATGGACTCGCTGATTCACCACTTCAAGGAGTTTTATCGCCCCTATCGGGAGCTCGTGGGGGAAGCCGCGGGCGATGTAAACCGCAGCTGCTGCGACGCGCTGGACGAAGCCACGCTGACGCTCGCCCGCAACGCGCTGCGGCGGTGCCGGAAGCTGGCCTCCGAGTACCTCGTCAACATACCCCTCGATGACCGCGTGCACTTTTTGCGGCTGAGCGGCAGCGGGTTCATTCGCGCGCACGTGGACGACAGCCGCAATTCAAGCGGCATCGTGGCGGGCCTCTGCCTCAGCTCCGCGCGCGTGATGACGCTGACGCACCCGAAGCATCCCGGGGAGAGGCTGGAGCTGCTGCTGGCCCCGCGCGCGTTTTACGTCCTCATCGGGAGCGCCCGGTACGAATGGGAGCACAGCGTCGACTGGGAGACCGACGACCCGGAGCACCTCCGGCGGGTGCGGGGGGAACTGCTGGCGGAAGGAAACCCCGTCGTGTTCGACGGAAAGGAAACGCCGCACAGGCGAGAGGAGCGCACGGCAATCATATTTCGCGGGGTGCCGCCGATGCAGCTGCTGCTCTCGAAGATGCAAAAGAAACACCCGGCGGCCTGATTTTTTGTGGCCCGCACCCCTCTTTATTTATTCTTGTGTCTTTGTTTCCTTGCTTCTTGTTGTTGCTTCTCGCTGGCCGGCTTGGCGGCCCGTCCTTGCGCGCGCGCGCGACCTAAGAACCGCGGAAAACGCTTGCGCCTCTCCTGCGCCACCTTTTTTTTCCTTTTTCTGCCGCCGCAGGCCCTGGGCAGGCGCGCCAGGCAGCAGTGACGCCGCGGGGCTGCCCGCCCCGAGCCCCGCGCGGAGGGAGGGGGAGGGAGGTGGGGGCAAGCTGCGGCGCATGTCCTCTTTGAGAAGTATTTTGCCGTGGACGAGTGCGGGTGCTTTTGTTTAAATTCATTTTCGACATTTTGGTTTGGCGCCGACGCCCCATGGCGGCGCCGCCTCCGCACTTCTCCAGGCGGGGATCGGCGCCCTCACCGGCCCCCGCAAGGCAGAGCAGTTCACTCGAGACGGCCGCGGTCGCGTTGTTTCCTCCGGATCCGCCCCGTCTGGGACGCCGCACGGCCTGCAGCATTTGGGGGCGCAACTTTGGTGGTTCGGCGTTTGGCAAACGGTTTTCGCGCGTGCCGCGGCACCGCGGTGCTCGAGTGGAGGAGGCTGCCGCTTCCGCCGCTCCCGGGCGAGACGCTGCCGGAATCGGCGCGAGTCTGTGGGTGGGCGGCCCGCTTCACGGCGGACAGCGACGACGCGTGGGCCACGCACGATGCGCAGGTTGGCGAGACAACAAATCGCCCCATCGTTTTTCGCGGACCCCGCGGCCGGCGCGGCCGGAAGAAGGCAGATTGGGCTGCGCATGGGCGCTGTGTTAGGAAGTATTCGCGCGCAGACGCGGGGGAAATACGTGCCACCCGCCGCCGCATCAAATGAATCAAGCGCGTCCGGGTCGCCGTTCGGAAAACAGCAGCGCCCTGCAAGAGACACAGGGACGACGGCTGGGTGGATTGCCGGGAACCCGCGCGCATTTGGCAGACGGATCGCTCATCCGTAAATATCC